AAACCTGTTTTCTTCCTCTTTTTTTTTTCTCCTTTTGGAGGTATGGTCTCATGTGAGATATTCACTTTGTCCACACCTTGTGGCACAGACCACATTCATTGGGGGTGGGGACAGGGGTCTGATGTTATCTGGGGGAACTAAGTCTGAGGAGGAGCTCCAGGAGCTCTCTTGCTTGCAGCACAGGGACAGGATAACATCTGGAGGCATCCTTGGGACCAGGAACCTGCTGGTGTTCATCCATATTATAAATTATTTCTCCCTGAATAAACATCTATTGGGCCTATCATTTCTCCTGATCCTTATTAAACCTCAATCCAGGCTGGCCTCCTGCTTCTGCCTCTCAAGTGCTAGGAGCACAGGCACCACCATGTCCTAGTACCCCATTCTTCCAAGGTGAGAGTTGGCAGAGTTACAGTCACTATCCTTCCCTCCCTTTCTCTGACTTTTCTCCAGTGTACTTACTGCCTGCCAAATAACATTTTTGGGAAACCTACATGGACTGTTCTCCCGACAAGAGCAGAAGCCAGTTAAGACAGAACTCACTGTCTACCTGTTCATGTGGGGCCTAGAACAGAGCTAAGATGACTGTGCTGAGGTCTGAAGACATGGAAGGCATGTCCCCTTTTATACCTGTGTCATTAGAGTTTATGGTGTTTTTTCTGTTGAGACCCTCCTTTGAGACAACAGGAAAGAGAAAAGAAACAGAAAGAAAAAGAAGAGGAAGGACAAAAGTACGCTTTCCTATTTTATCTGAGCCCGTGATTCACCTGTTTAGTTCTGAATCACAGAACAAGAGACCAGGAAGCTGGGCTCTTGTTTGCTTCAGGAGCCTAGAGCTATTCTCTGTGTTCCTGCTTCCTTTGGCTGGAGGCTGAGTTTTCCTACTTTCAACCCTCAAGCCTTAGGGAAACAGCCTTGTAGGAACCGAACTCTCCTATTCAGGGGAAGCTGTCACAGTGGGAGAGGGGAAGCTAAGCACAGTACCAGCTTTCTTCAAATGTCAGCATCCCTCACATGTGGCAATGCTTGGGCCTTCCCTGTGGTTCACATCAGGGCAGTGAGACATAGATGCCTATACATATACTGTTAGGTTACAGCCAACAACCATGACATACATGAACACAGGCTCTCTCTGGTGTGTTTGTTTTTGTGTTTTGGTTTTTGAGACAGGGTTTCTCTGTGTAACAGTCTTGGTTGTCCTGGCACTCTCTAGACCAGGCTGGCCTTGAACTCACAGACATCCACCTGCCTCTGCCTCCTGAGTGCCTCCCAAGGGCTGTGAGTAAAGGCTTCTGCCTCCACTGTGGCGCCACAGGCTTTCTCTGAAACAGGCTTAAGATCATTTGAGAAACCTCCACTCACACTCTCAAACAAAAGTACACTAGGCACATCTTTACAGACCACATCTGCACAGGAGCAAAGAATTGGAGTCAAATTACTTAGTTCATTCAAGTAGTCTCACTGGAGGGTAACCTTAGGTTTGGTGGTGTTGAAAAAGTACATGGTTTATTTATTTACTGTTGAGACAGGTTTTTTTGTTTTTTTTGTTTTTGTTTTTGTTTGTTTGTTTGTTTTGTAGCCCTGTCTATACTGGAACTCGCATTGTAGAGATCTGCCCGACTCTGCCTGGGATTAAAGGCATGTTACACCACCACCTGCATACATGATTGATTTTTAAAAAGGGAAAAAAATTAGGCATAGTAAGTAATATTTAGAACAATGCAGGAATGCATAAATTTCCATATTTAAAAGCCTGACAGATAGAGGGTGAAACCCCTGGTTCAGTCCTCAATACTAGGGGAAAAAAAATCTGACAAATGGTCAGTGAATTGCTATGGTGAAATAGTTACAATGATGAGTATTACCGTAATTAATACTTAATAAAGAAAACGCTGACAAACACCAGGAAGACACCCCAGCTCCTGGCAAACCTCCACAATATTCTCCACAGACTGCCTGCCTACTTTGTGTATTTCTTTTTCTTCATGTGTATGTGCAATTTACTGCATGCTTTGGCCCTATGAACACCTTCCTGAAACCTTCTCCAGATCTTGTTTTTTTAATTTCTCAGTTTCATTAGCATCATGGTGAATCAGCTTATGCGCTTGAATTCTCAGCCGGCTGAGAAAACCTATTTTCTTAAACCTGTAGGTCTGTTTTTCCTCTTTTCAAAACGAGCACTTCTCATGTTTCTTATCAGATGGTCTACAGCACTTCTGATGCCCAGGGGAATAACACGGGATCTGGGGTGGGATTGGAGATGGGTGGGTTGATGCCAGTGGGGGTGGGCGGGTGGAGAATGAGCTTCAGTAGCAGGGAAGACCCTTTCCCTTTGAGAGGCTGGGAAATGGAGGGTATGGCACAGGAAAGTGGGGGTTCTCTGATTGCTGCATTTTCTTAAAAGAGCATTTGCTCAAGCTAGGGTGTCAGCTCTACAGTGGTCTTGTTACCAAAGATAGCCTCGAATTCTGCATTATCTTTACAAGCACGTGAAATTATCCTGCTCTATTTTCTGCCTTCTTGGTTGTTTCCTGTCCCCACACCACCAGTAATACACGTTTCAGGGCCAATGTAACCCCAATGCCTAGTGACACTGGGCACGTAGCGTGCATACACAGATCTAACTAGGATTGAGCAGGCAAATGTGCCAGCTGGGTTAGCAGCGATGCCAAGATTGTTTACAGCCCCTGCTTGGAACTGAGAAGGGAACGTTGTCACTAACTAACACATTAGGCTGAAAGAGACAAGAGACAGCTGAGAGAGGAGAGGAGGGCTTAAACCGGAATTCAGACTGTGAGAACCCGAGAGAGCCGGGAGGCGGAGCGCGGCGGAGCGCTCGGGAGGGGAGCGGAAAGCCGGCGCAGGGCGTCAGGGCCCCCGGGTCGCTCACAAGTGGCCCCGGCATGTGGCCGTGCCGGGCCCGCCCTCCCCGGGCGCGGCGCGTGCGGGATCAAAGCTGCCGGCAAGGGGCGGGCCGCGGCGCTGCGGGGCACCGGGGGTGCGAGCGTGGGAGCGCAGGGACCCCGGAGGCGACAGGGGCTGGAGGGAGAGGGAGAGAGACAGAGACAGAGAGAGCGAGGGAGGGAAGGAGAGAGGGGGAGAGAGAGAGAGAGAGCAGGCTTTCCCCCTCGGAGGGGGGGAGGAGAGGACCCCTGGGCAGGGATCCCAGTTCCACGTCCTTTCTCAGGAGGTGTGTAGAGGCAGCCAGAACCTTCCAGGCTGGAAAAGGGGGAAGGTATGAAGGTCTGCGGAGTCAGGGACTAGTTCCGGAGCTTCCAAGGCGGCTACAGAATCAAAACACTACATTTCATTTTTGGTTGAAATGTTTAAGTAAAAAGATGTTTGGTTGAAACCTGATCAATTTTATTTCCTCCTTGTTCCAGAGTGAAGAAAAAAGTCATTCATGCATTGGCCGGGAATCGAACCCGGGCCTCCCGCGTGGCAGGCGAGAATTCTACCACTGAACCACCAATGCAGACAAGAAGAGCGATCGTAATGAATGCATCTGACCTTGTCAAAGGCGGAGTCATTCATGCTCAAACTCTTAAATGTGGAAAGGGTTTGTAAAGACTGGTTAAGGTGGGTGGAGCGCCAGGCCATTCTTTCTCTCCCTTGGATCCGGCCACCGGGCCATAAAGTCATTCCATATGGCCAGGGGCGGCCCCACACCCGGGTGCAAACTGCCCAGGCCCTCGAGCCTCACGTGCAGGTGAGAAAAACTCAACCCCAATGCTGGTTCCCAAGGAGGGGGGCGGCGGGGGCTGCTGTGGCCACACATCTGTGCTCCCATTTGGCTGAAGTAGGGAAGGTGGGATGTACTGAGGGCTCTAATCCCAAATGGGGGCCCCTTCTCAAATCTGGGCCCCTCCCGCCCTGCCTTTGGCAAGGCAACCTCTGCCAGAAAAGCCGCTCAGGAAGTGGGCCCTCTGGGAGACGGCTCCTCCTTGTCTCAGACTCCACAGCTACCTTCCTTCTGACCCGGTTTGTAGCCCTATCTTTATTACGTGCTTTCCCCGAGTCTTCTAGTCATGTTAAACATCGGCTTTTCCTTCCCAGGCACTTCGTCCTGAAGTCTCCAAGTGTTGACACATCCTTCCGTAGAGTGCCATGCTCTTGGTTTGAGGTGGGTGCGGGTCCCTTTTGTAGGAACCCTTTTTTGTCGCTCCAGCACGTCTCACATTTTCCCTGCTTTCCTATAGCCACTGGACGCTTCCAGAGGCAAGTAACTCCGGTGCACTTGCGTGAGCTTTTCCCGTTAGCCATACTCCTGGATTTAGTTTTAAACCAAATGCTTGTAAATGGAAAGATTTCCTCACTCCGGTTATACTTTAAGAACTCACCCCTCCTTTTTTCCCTAGAAGTGTCCTTTGCTCCCCCTCCCCCACACGTCCCGCCACCCTCAAGGAAATCTGTTCTGGGCACTCGCTTCCTTTGCTTCTGTAATAGCCGCTTGATGGCAGACTTTGCTCATCACTAGGTCTGCAGGCATAAGCAGAGGAGGTATTGTGGCGATTGAGTAGAAGGGACGAGTACCACGGCGAGCTTCCCCACAGCCAGCCAATGGAACCCGCACGCAGACCTGACTTGAGGGGCTGTTCCTTCTCTCTACCCGGGAGGTGGGGGGACTTTGGGGGAGATACATAGCTTTCAGTCTGGAGGCTGAAGCGCGCTAACGTTTATTTCGGTGTTGGTGAGGCCACAGCGAACCTCCAAGAAATCTACTCCTCTAGGAGATCCCCGAATTTCATGTCTAAGCGAGCTGTTTCCCAATTCACTTAAACTCCCTTCCCCTAATATTCCCCTCCCTTCAATTGGGTCCCGCCTTCTTATACAGCCTTATGGTCCTTAAGCCAGCCTGTGGCCCCTGCCTTCCCACGCTGCCCACACTTGGGGCCAGTTCCTCTCCTCCCCTCCCCCTCAGTCCCCGCCTTTCCGGGAGCCGCGTGCCGGGGGTCTTGGCCCTGGGCACCCAGGAGCTGGAGGGGGCGGGGCTGGGTCCTATCCCTCCTACCCTGCTCGGGCGGGATATATAAACCTAGTGGACGCTGCGTGTCCACCGCAGGGTCCGGAGACGCAATGGTCACCCGGGATCGGGCTGAGAATAGGGACGGCCCCAAGGTGAGATGCGGGAAGGGAGGAAGCAAGGAGTCCCTGTCCTGGCCAGAGGACTTAAAGGTCCTAACTCTGTGGGTTAGGGGTGAGGATGGAGACGCAGGACTGAAAGGACAGAGGTGCTCGTGCTACCCAAAGAACCTGAAAAGTGTGAAGAGGGCAGGGTCAGAGACGAACTTGTGTGGGTGGCGGAAGCCGAGGTCTAAGGGTTTAAATTGTTGCGGGCTGCGGCTGGCTTCTGGCCCGGAGAGCTCCGGAGAGTGCCAGAATTTGGGTACCTTGGCCTATCCTAGAGCTCAGCAGGCTGAGGCAGGTGGATTACGACAAGTTCGAGGCCATGGAGTGAGTGCGTCCTACAAACACAAAGCAAGCAAACGATCCAAAACAACATAAAAATAAGCTAGAGGACAGAGCTGGTGGAGGAGGACGGGAAGCTGTCAGTAGCGGCTGTGAACCACATCTGACTCAAAAAGAAGACTTTTGAGTCCTTGGGTCCAGCCAGAGGTGCGCGGCCGGGCGAGAGCTTTTAGAACCAGAGGCGACTTCTGGCTGCTGCCTAGAAGGGCTTGATCGAGAAGAGGAGGTGTGGTCGTGCCAGGTGTCTCCCTTGCACCCGTGCCGTGCGGGTTGGGAGCAAAGAGTGTCCCCAGAGTTCTTCACTGATACACAGAGAGGGAGACCACACAAGACAGAGATGTAGAGAGAAGAGAGGAGAGTCACAGACGAGAGACAAGAGGAGGAAGCAGAACACAGAAAAAGCGGGAGGGAGGGCAGGGAGCGGGGAGACGTGGGGGCGAGCCATTGAAACCCACCCCAGGGCGCTGGGAAGGAGGGAGGGAGCGCGAAGGAACGAACGGACCGGCCCTGGGCAACCGGGGGCTGCGGGGAGGGGCGCCCCGGGCTTCGCCAGCGGCAGGATCGGACGCTCGCGTGGCGGCGCTGAGTCCCGGTCCGGTCGGCCCGCCCTCCCTTTCCCGCTGGTCACAGATGCTGAAGCCGTTGGTGGAGAAGCGGCGCCGGGACCGCATCAACCGCAGCCTGGAAGAGCTGCGGCTGCTACTGCTGGAGAGGACCAGGGACCAGGTCAGTTCCGCCGCCGGCCCCAGGCTCTTGCATCGTGCACGTGTGTCCCAGGGCTTTCCACTGGGGTGGGGACCTAGTCTGGAGTGGGGCCTGGCCCCACGGCGCCCTGACCCGAGCCTAGCCTTTGAGAGCCCATCCCTGACCCGCTCTCGACCTCAGAATTCGGTCTTCGCCACCTTGCGGGGCTGTAAGTTTCCTGTCTGGCTCTGTAAACTGAGCTTCCAGCGTGCCTTAGTTTCCCCGGATCAGTCCGGGTTGTGGTCTCCTACGCACTGCTCACATGCCGGGGACTGGTCTCAGGGTGGGACGGGGACCTTCCTTGGTCATCTATCTCCACTTGCGGTCGCGAGTCATGGGGGCACCCGCAGCTCCCGTATCCGCCCCTCCCTTCTTCCCCCAGCCACTTTCCCCGTCTCTCCCCACCCCTTCTGTCTCTGCGCCCCCTCCCTCCCTCCGTCTGTAGAACCTCCGGAACCCGAAGCTGGAGAAAGCAGAGATCCTGGAGTTCGCCGTGGGCTACCTGCGGGAGCGAAGCCGGGTGGAGCCCCCGGGTACAGCGCGGGGGTTGGGGCAGCGGCGGCGGGCGGCGGGCGGCGGGCGGGGGCCGGGCGGGCTCTGCGGGGGGTGGGGGGCTGGGGGCGGCCGGCTGTGCTCCGAGGCGAGGTTAATGACGCCTGCGCGTGTGTGTCTCTGTGTCTCCCCCGCTCCCCTCCTCTACTCGTCCATCTGGTCTCCGTCTCCGTCCGTGCGCCCGTCTGACCTCGGTGCCTCTGCGCCCCTTCCCTTCCCTCACCCCGTTGGGCCCCTGCCCTGCCCGCCTGTCCTCCCGCCGGCTGCACCAGGGGCGGCCCGGTCCCCAGGCCAGGACGCCGAGGCGCTCGCCAGCTGCTACTTGTCCGGCTTCCGCGAGTGCCTGCTTCGCTTGGCGGCCTTCGCGCACGACGCCAGCCCCGCCGCCCGCTCCCAGCTTTTCTCCGCGCTGCACGGCTACCGGCGCCCCAAACCGCCCCGGCCAGAGGCCGTAGATCCAGGGCTCCCAGCGCCGCGCCCACCGCTGGACCCTGCTTCACCCGTCCTCGGCCCCGCGCTGCACCAGCGCCCCCCCAGCCCCCGCTGCGCTTGGTCCCCATCCCGCTGCTCCCCCCGCGCCGGGGACCCCGGCGCGCCGGCGCCCCTCACCGGACTGCTGCCACCGCCGCCGCCGCCTTACAGACGAGACGGGGCGCCCAAGGCCCCGCCACTCCCACCGCCCGCGTTTTGGAGACCTTGGCCCTGAGCTTTGGGGGGCTGGGGCGGGGGTTGGGGGTGGGGTAGAGACTCCAGCCAGAGGGCAGGAGAGGGATCCGGGCGTCGGGGCGAGGAGGGCAGCGGGGCGCGCGGGCTCAGCGCGCGGGTGAGATGTGGTTTATATTAGAGTATCTATATAAATATATATTTTCCTATCCCTTCCTTTTCCCTGCCCCACTACCCTGTGAGTAGGATTGTACCCTGTCTACCCCAGCCCAGTCCCGCTCCCTTCCCGAGTCCCTAGTGCATGGAATAAAATGGTTATTAAATCCCGGTGTGTCCCCTAGCCAGGGGCCTGCCTCTATATCGGCGTCACGCCCACTTGCCCATACCCTTCTCCTACCTTTAGGCCTGCTCTCCACGGCCCAAGCCCTGGGGCAGACAGGTAAGTAAAGAGCCGAGCAACAGACTGAGGTTGAAACTGGATTGAAAACAAATCGGGTTAAGCGAAAGCCAAAAGGAAAATAAATAAGTAAAACAAAACCGACTCTGGTGGGATTCGAACCCACAACCTTTGAATGGCTTTTTCGTCCCTAGAAGTCCAATGCGCTATCCATTGCGCCACAGAGCCACATGGAGGGCGGCGCCTTCTTCCAGCTTACGGAGACTAGCATAGGAGAAAGGGCAGAGGGCGTGCGTGCGCTCGAAAACTGGGCGGAGCTATGTCATGGGGCTGGAGGCGAAGATCCGAGAGGCTAGCGGGAAGAGAAGAGCTGTAGTGCACTTGTGAGCTGGGTGGGGATGAGGGTGCAGGCGGGCTATGGAAGCAGGGAGGGACAGGCACGGAATTTGAACTAGCCAGCGGTGCAAAGCTCGGTGGAAAGCTCGGGCCGCTCCTTGGGCTACCAAGCTCACACTTGCTGGGGTCCCAGATCTGATCCCACTAAATAAAGTTGTTTTGTCGTAAATCTCTGTGTCTTCTGGCTCATTTGCTTTGCTTCTTTGCTATGTCGTTCAGAGTCTATGGCTCCTCATTCCAGGTTTGGAATGTATAGCAAAAGAGATCCAGGTCAGCTAGAGCCTGTGGTCCTTGCACGGACTTCCTTCAACTCTCTTAGGAAGACCACGAGAAATGTCGCCCTGCACCCGGGTAGCGTGGCCGAGCGGTCTAAGGCGCTGGATTTAGGCTCCAGTCTCTCCGGAGGCGTGGGTTCGAATCCCACCGCTGCCAGGCCAACTTTTTCCTCTGGCAGCATCGTGCTTCAATTCAAGCCTAAAGGCCACTTTATTCAGTTCAGTTTTATGACATCCGTTTCTTGGCTAGTGTCCTCGTTCTTGCCGACATAACGCGACTCATTCCATATTCAGAGACAAGATTTTCTAAGCTGCCTCTAGAGTGACATGTTTATAACCTATTTCCATTGTAAACATGTCTAGAAATATGTATTATATTGTAATAAACTGTTATATATTCAAACTCAGCGAAGATCCCAGTGTGTGTAAATTACATTTTCTAGGCTTTATCTGACTGAAAGTAACATAAAAAAGCTTCGAGCAAGTGTGTTATCATTCGATTTTGATAGTATAGTACTAAACATGTGCGAAAAATTAAGGTTCCACCGAGATTTGAACTCGGATCGCTGGATTCAGAGTCCAGAGTGCTAACCATTACACCATGGAACCTGCTGTCCCGTCAGCTGTTCTGAAATTCTATACATTATTTTGCATCCTATTTTACATACCGATTTTATCATTTACCGAAATATACAAAGCAATCGCAAGAACACCAACTGATTTAAATGCTGATTTCAACATACCAATTTAAAGTTAAAATAAGATTTTTCAAATATTGTATTCAGTGAATTATATTATTAAAAGTAATTTCGCCAACTTCATTTTACTGTTTGGGTTTTAGAAAAAAATTAACCACGAATTCCTGGTATACACAGATACTGCACACTGTCGTTCCCTCTTATTATTACTGGTCGGAACTTCTTTTCCCAATTCACTTCTTTCTCTCCATCTCCTTTTAAAATAAGGTAATCATTGTTGCTATCATCAAACGTTACAGAGAGACAACAGCAATCAGCGTAGGGAGAACTATACAAAAGCTGAGCGCCCGAACAGGGACTTGAACCCTGGACCCTCAGATTAAAAGTCTGATGCTCTACCGACTGAGCTATCCGGGCTCTTGCAGCAATCGTTCACTTGCACCTAGAAGAGTATTTTCCGACACGTCCACTCACACCTCCATGTTCTTCTAAATGACTAGGAATGTGTTCAAGACTCTGACATGATGACGCCTCGGTGCCCGTGCCTGTCCTTTCCTTAGAGGTCTGTCTGTGGAGGTGGCGGGGCGGGCGCGGCGCTCAGGCCGGCCACGCGGGGCCGCTGCGAGCTGCAGGTTTCTGCGGTTCAGCCTAGATCTTGTGACCTAGATCTGGGACAGCTCGGGCACGTGGGCTGCCTCCTACGGGCCAGCAGGCAGGCTCCGGGAGGACTCGGAGCGCAAGGAATGTCGCACGGGGGCCTGCAGATGCGGTCGGGCAGCCCTCCATCCACTTGGCAGGCCCTGTTCCAAAGGGGATGCCGAAAACTGGGGACGGAGGGGGGACCAGGCTTGAGGAAGAAATGGGTGTGTCCGCGGCGGGATGGGGAGCGTGACCACCTGCCGCGCGCCCAGATGAGTGTGCCATTCCCCAGATTGTTGCTGAAGTCACGTGCCATGTATGTATGGATCAGTGCAGCCTTCCGATCCATGTACGACGGCGTGATTCACGCGGTTGATTCACACGTAGGAATTCTAGTGCTCTGGTGCCCATTTCTGGTTTGGAAATAGGAGGGAAAGGGTCTGGAGTGGGTGAACATGGGCCTCAGGACGTTAGTCAAGCCTCTGATCAGGCAAGAGGGTAGTGTCCTAGTCACACACGCGTCACCTCCTCCCCGGCTCCCTCTCGGCATTTGGTTCCTCCTCCTTTCTTCCCTCCCTCCCTCCCGAATGGACCCAGTCTCCAGATATCCATCTGGATGAGCCAGCCAGAGGGACCGGCTGTGTCAGAGGCAAGCAAACAAGTATTAGGGTGCAAGACTGTGGGCGGGGAGAGGACTCCTGAGCTACCAGAGGAGCTCCGGTGAGAGAGAGAGCGAGCGAGCCCGGGAGCATCCCAGAACCGGGCCCTCCTCAGGCTCGCCCTTCCCCAGCCCCCAGCCTTCTGCCCAGCAGGCGACCGTGCTCTACCTGTAGCTCACCTTCTCTGGCCCAGCTCCTGCTTTTGAGTTATCGGATCCCACTATGGCAGTTTACCGTCTCTGTGTAACCACTGGTTCCTACCTGAAGGCTGGGACGCTGGACAACATCTACGCTACTTTGGTGGGCACCTGCGGCGAGAGCCCTAAGCAGAGGCTGGATCGTGTGGGCAGGGACTTCGCCTCTGGATCCGTGAGTACACAGGAGAGAAGGGGGAGGGGGGCTCTAGGGAACGGACTTCACCGGGAGCTTGATCGCCAGCGGTGTGTGGGAGGGAGTGATTCTTGTTGGATTCCTCAAGTTCTGTTGAGCTTGGGGTGCTCACTATAATCTTGTCATCATTTCCTTTGTGGTCCCTGCCTTTGAGTGACGATAAGTCATACCAACTAACTGTTCGGAGACAGGGCTGTGGAGAAGAAGGGGCACTTGGAAGGAACTCTGGGACTTTCCCTGGCTTTCTGGCTCCTCCTTCTCCTATTATTGTTGTTGTTGTTGTTGTTGTTATTATTATTATTGGTGCTGGTGGTGGTTTTTCCAGACAGTATTTCTCTGTGCAACCCTGGCTGTCCTGAAACTCCCTCTGTAGACCAGGCTCAGAGAACCGCCTGCCTCTGCCTTGAGTACTGTGATTAAAGTCGTGCACCACCACCCCTTGGTCTGGCTCCTCCCATTACTGACACAAGCCAAGTAGCTTCCTCACTCTGACCATGTATTTTCTGTTCTCTGGAAGGGGTCTGCTTTCCTTTGTCAGCCCTTAGGACAGTTTGCTAGTGGTTTTAGGATCGTCAGCAAAACTCTGCACAGACACTAAGTAAGGTGCCTGCTTCTACTTGATGAAGACAGGCTCTTCTCATTCATACAGAGGAAGCATGTGGATCAGCTACTGCTCGGGCTTGTATGCCAGAGTAAGCAGAGGTGCTGATGTACCTTCCAAGTGCAAAAATGCCTCAGCAGTTCTTTGCCGCTCACCAGCGTGCTTGCTGCCTCCATCACTCCAGGTTCAGAAGTACAAGGTGCGCTGTGCAGCAGAGCTGGGTGAGATCTTGCTGTTGCGCTTACACAAGGAGCGCTTTGCTTTCTTCTGCAAGGATCCCTGGTACTGCAGTCGCATAAGTGTCACAGCCCCAGATGGCACCGTGACTCACTTTCCCAGCTATCAATGGATTGAGGGCTACTGCACCGTGGAGCTGCGGCCAGGAACAGGTGGGCCAGGGACAAGGACTGCAGCAGCTTCTTTTGGGATTAGGAAAGGAGTGTCAGAGAACTCAGGGTGTATGGAGTAGGATTGGGTTAGGAATGCTAGGGTCTCAAGTAGATAGCTTTTGAAAAAGAGCATTGATAAAGTCCTGACATGCAAGGACTCTCTGAGTAGTCTTTCATCTTCTGGAGGCACACACAGACAGGCATACACAGACAGACAGGCACACACAGACAGACAGGCACACACAGACAAGCACACACAGACAGGCACACACAGACACACACAGACAGACACACACACAGACAGACAGGCATACACAGACAGACAGGCACACACAGACAAGCACACACAGACACACACAGACAGACACACACAGACAGACAGACACACACACACACACACAGACAGACAGGCACACAGACACACACACACAAACAGGCACACACAGACAGGCACACATAGGCACACACAGGCACACACAGACAGGCACACACAGACAAGCACACATAGGCACACACAGACAGACAGACACACACACACACAGACAGGCATTCACAGACAGACAGGCACACACAGAAAGGCACACACAGACAGATACACACAGACAAGCACATATAGGCACACACAGACAGACAGACAGACACACACACACAGACAGACAGGCATACACAGACAGACAGGCACACACAGACAGGCACACACAGACAGGCACACACAGACAGACACAGACACACACAGACAGGCACACACAGACAAGCACACACAGGCACACACAGACAGACACAGACACACACAACAGGCACACACAGACAGACACACACAGACAGGCACACACAGACAGATACTCCAGATGCAGGCAGATGTTCTCACACCAGGCAGCTGA